ACCCACCCTCAGCACCCATCTACATCCACCATCCACACTCCACACCCTTACCATACAGATCAATACAAGGTATTTTAAAACGATCATGACGTATTCAACGAGTATATTCGTTCTTTTTTTGAGATTACACATGCAAAAAAGCCAAACAAAAAATACCACCAAAAACCATTAACATCGTTGTTTGTTTCATAAAAGACAAACTGTACGCTTTTATGTTGCTAAAAAATCACCAAACAGCATAATATTTTGAATTATATGAAACAGAAGTCAAAAAACAACTTTTATTTGAATAATATTCAATATCCCCATATAATAAAATACGTATATAATCTTTTTTTTAGTTGTTTATTCAAGTAATGAAGCCAATACAGCCACACCTCGTTCATAGAAATTATATTCAGAAGTATTTGCTTGACCCGATTTAACATTAATGGTACAAAGTAATTCTGTTCGAAGACCATTACCATAAACTGGAAGAGTTACTTCTTGGTGATCATTCATTTTTTGTGTATTAGGCATTTTCCATTCAATTGCCAAAAGAGGAATATCATCCATAATCGAATTTGAATAAAACAATGCATTATTACGACATAAAGCACCTTGTAATTTCAAACCTAAATTTTAGAGAAAAAAAAAGTTTTATTTTTGAAGTAATATGATAAATAACACTTACCAGTAATAAGAAAAACATTTCCTTTATTCGAATCTACTTGTGATGGTTGATCAAGCATTTGTACATGCATAACAAGTTCTTCCAATGAAACATGTAATGATTGAGCTGCACATTGACGTGTTGCTGTAAGATAAGCTTCTGGTGTAAATAATCCACCAAGCCACATTTGCACATGCTAAAAAAATTTTTTTTTTATATTATAAAATCAATTCGAAGCCTTTATCTTAAAACATACACGTAACGATTGAACACCTTCGGTTATTGTTAATGTTACTAATTTCTCAAGTTGTTTCAAACGAGCTATAAAATCCGACATCCATTGCATAGCACTAATACGTGGTGGAACACGATATTTTTTCCATGTTAATGGTGTAATACCTAGATAAATAAATTGAAATATAACTACCAGAGTTAGGCACAGGACAGGACGATCTTGGTGTCTTGTCCTGCCGCCCGCCAAGACAGAGTAAGGCAACAG